AAAATCTTTTAAAAAATGAACAAACAAAACAAAACAAACCCAACTCGTAAATACAGAGAACAGAATGGTGATAACCAGACATGAGCAGGGTTAGGGGAGGCGAACAAAACAGGTGAAAGGAGTTAAGAGGTACCAACTTCCAGTGATAAAATTAGTAAGCCATGGATATATAATATACAGTATAGTGACTAGAGTCAATAATACTGTAGTGCATACTTGAAAGTTGCCAAGAGAGTAAATATTAAAAATTCTCACCACAAGGGAAAAAAATTGTAACTTTGTATGGTGACAGATGGTAACTAAACTTACTGTGGTGATCATTTCATGATGCATGCAAATATCAAATCATTATGTTGTACACTGAAACTAATATAATGTTATATGTCAATTATACTTCAATTAAAAAATAAAGAAGCTGGATTATCTAGGATCATATGCACATCCTTGATTCAGATGAGAAGGTCACATGATTATCCTGGGGGGAGGAGCCCATGAACTTGCCACTAACTAGTATGCAGATCACACTCCCTCCTGGGACCAGAAACACCCACACATCCTCCCTGATGCTTGGCAAATAGGAAAAAGGAGGCAAACTGGTAAGTAAGCAGAAAATGATATGGTAGTAAAAATAAAAGTCAAGACTTGAAACAGAAACCATAGGGAGCTGTTAACATGGTCACCTCTCCATAAGGTGCACTGAGAAGAGATGCTAATATGAAAATTGTTCTCCACAGTTAACATTTACAGGTCACCAATACCAGTTGTAGGTTCACAAGCTTGGGCTTTAATGGTGATTCTATTAATTTTTGTGATGTTTGGTAATTAACTTTTCTGTGCTTTATATATTCATCTGTGAAGTTGGGATGATAATGGTTCCTACCTAATAGGTAATACTGGTAAAGGGCTTAGAAATATGCCTGGGAGGAGGCTGGGAAGATGGTGGAGTTAAGAGGTCCCTTAGCTCACCTCGTCCCATGGATACAACTAGGTAACACTCACATCTGCATAAATAACTCAGAAAATGACCTGAAGACTGGCAGAACAAACTCCACAATTAAACATACAGAAGAGGAGTGCTTGGGTGGCTCAGTTGGTTAAGTGTCTGCCTTCAGCTCAGGTCATGATCTCAGGGTCCTGGGATTGAGTCCCATATGAGGCTCCCTGCTCAGTGGGAAGCCTGCTTCTTCCTGTCCCTCTGCCTCTCTCTCTCTCATAAATAAATAAAATCTTTGAATGAATGAATGAATGAATGAATGAATGAAGAGAAGAGACCGCATTAAAGAGGGTAAGAAGGGCTGAGACATGGGGGGAAGACAAATACACCAAGGCTGCGGGAGATGGTGGGGCAGTTTGGGAGGAAGCTGCAGACACAGAGAAGAGGGAGAAACAGACTATCACACTGGGCATCCCACACAAGGAATATGAATACCCATAACATTTGACTTTGAAGGCAAAAGGAGTTATTTCATGAATTCTTACAACCAGCAGTACTTAAAACCTGGAATTTTCAAAATCAATGGGTTCAGCTCTGGGAAAGACTGGAGGGCAGGAGGAAGCTGAGTCCCCACACTTAAAGAGACAGCAGAAAAAACAGCCCATGGAGATAGAGTGTAGAAGCAGCAGTTTGGAAAACACATGGGAGGGAGAGTAGCTTACTCATTCCAGAGTGTGTTCTGGGGGGGCAAGGATCACAGAAAGACCCATCCAGGAACAAAGGAGTTGGCAGGTGCCATCTCCCTCTGCTGCCCCCTAGCTCAAACATTCGGTCATCTGTGGGAACCAGCTCAGTGCCAGCATTCACTACCTAACTTGCTAACACTACCATCCACCATGCTTCAGCAGATCTGCCCTTCCCAGTCATGCTTGCCTCGATACTGGGAGTACCATGGGTCCCCTCCACCAGAAGACCAGCATAAACGTTGCCAGCAGCACATTACCCCACCCACGCACTTTGCTCCTCATAAGATCCACACACAGCTTGTTATAAGTGTGCACCCTACCCATGCAGGCTTTGCAGATCCACCAGACTGACTCCGTGCCATCTGCACTGTACTAAAACCACGTGCCCCATGCCAGCTGGTCCCAGCAGCAGCACCATGTCACCTCCAATACACTTCTGGCCAGACTCCATCCAAAGCAGTTCCACAAGCCTGGCAGAGTGCAAGCACTCCAACAGGGGCCAACACTACTCCAATGACCCTTGCCCTGGGGCGAGGGGAAGATAACCACACACACCAATCAAATGGCAGCTTTAGCAGTGGGTTGGGAGCTGAATACAGACTTTGCCCACCAATGAAAACTTCTCAATGGACAACACAGAAAGTGCCTTACATCTTAGTGCTACTGCATCTCTGGAAAACACCTGGTCTGACTCAATCAGACTGGTCCACTAACACCACACAGACAAAACACTGCTACTGCCCACAATAGACAAAGAGAGCCACTGCAGATGACTGGACTAAAGGAAAAAGTGGCCAAGAGATAAGAGCAGGATGCATGCAGCACACATAGAAGACATTCCTGAAGTGCCAACTTCTGGTGAACAGCTGACACTGCACTGCAGGGCACTATAGGACATCTCCTTCATAAGGTCATTGCTTTCAAGAATAGGAGACATAGCAAACTTTCCTAACACACAGAAACAGACACAGAGAGTTAGACAAAATGAGGAGACAGAGGAATATGTCCCAAATGAAAGAACAGGACAAAACCGACAGCAAGAGACCTAAGCAAAATGAAGATAAGTATAGGCCTGATAGAGAATTTAAAGTAATGATCATAAAGATACTCACTGAACTTGAGAAGAGTGGAAGACATCAGCAAGACTCTTATCAAAGAGAAAGAAAACATAAAAAAAGAACCAATCAGAGATGAAGAACACAGTAAATGAAATTATAAAAATACACTAAATGGAATAAACAGCAGGCTAGAGGAAGCAAAGGAATGAATTAGTGACCTGGAGGACAGAGTAATGAAAAGTAATCAAAATAATCAAGCTGAGCAGGTTGGAGAAAAAAAAAATATGCCAAATGAAAACAGACTTAGGGAACTCACCAACTCCAACCAGCATAATAGCATTCACATTATAGGAATCCCAGAATGAGAAGAGAGAGGAAAGGTGGCAGAAAATTTATTTGAAGAAATAATAGCTGAAAACTTCCCTAATGCTCCAATCAAAAGACAGAGGGTGATAAAATGGATAAAAAACAAGATTATTCTATATGCTGCCTAGAAGAGACTCATTTCAGACCTAAAGAAACACACAGATTGAAAATGAGGGAATGAAGAAATATTTATCATGTAAAGAGATGTCAAAAGAAAGCCAGAGTAGAAATACTTCTATCAGACAAAACAGACTTTAAAACAAAGACTGTAACAAGAGACAAAGAAGGGCACTACATAATAATAAAGGGCACAATCCAACAAGAGAATATAACAATTGTAAGTGTTTATGCAACCGACATAGGAGCATCCAAACACATAAAACAGTTAATAACAAACATAAAGGAAGCAATTGATAGTAATACAATAAGAGTCAGGGACTTTAATGCCACACCCACATCAATGGACAGATCTAAACAGAAAATCAATATGGAAACAGTGACTTTGAATGACACACTAGACCAAATGGATTTAACAGGTACATTCAGAAGATGCCATCCTACAACAGCAGCATACACATTCTACTCAAGTGCATTGGAACATTCTCCAGATCACATATTAGGCCACAAAACAAGTCTCAACAAAATCAAAAAGATCAAAGTCCTACCTATGCATTATTTCTGACCATAACACTACGAAACCAGAAATCAACCACGAGAAAAAATCTGGAAAGACCATAATAGAGGGAGGTTAAATAACATGCTATTAAACAATGAATGGATCAACAAAGAAATCAAAGAAGAAATCAAAAAGTACATGGAAACAAACAAAAATGAAAACATGACATTCCAAAACCTTTGGGATGCAGCAAAAGCAGTTCTAAGAGGGACGTTTATAGCAATGTGGGGCTACCTCAAGAAGCAAGAAAAATCTCAAATAAATAATCTAACCTCACCTAATGGAACTAGAGAAAGAATAAACAAAACCCAAAACCAGCAGAAAGAAGGAAATACAGATCACAGCAGAAATAAATGACATAGAAAATTTAAAAAAAAACAGATCAATGAAACCATTTTTTCTTTGAAAGAAATCAACAAAATTGATAGACTCATCAAAAGAGAGAGAGCACTCAAACAAAACCAGAAATGAAAGAGGAGAAATAACAACTGACACCACAGAAATACAAAGGATTGTAAGAAAATATTATGAAAAATTATATGCCAACATATTAGAAAACCTAAAAGAAATGGATAAATTCCTAGAAAATATAACCTACCCAAACTGAAGAAATAGAAAATTTGAACAAATTAATTACCAGCAATGAACTGAATCAGTAATCAAAAATCTCCCAACAAACAAAAGTCCAACATTGATGTATTCACAGGTGAATTCCACCAAACATTTAAAGAAGAGTTAATACCTATTCTTCTCAACAATTTTAAAAAATAGAAAAGGAAGGAAAACTTTCAAATTCATTCTATGAGGCTAGCATTGCCCTGACAGCAAAACCAGATAAAGACACCACAAAAAAAGAGAACTATAGGCTGATATCCCTGATGAACACAGATGCAAAAGTCCTCAACAAAATATTGGCAAACCAAATCCAACAATATATTTTAAAAAATTATTCATCACGATCAAGTGGGATTTATTCCTAAAATGCAAGAGTAGTTCAATATTCCCAAATCAGTCCCTCCAACAAGAGAAAGTATAAAAAACATATGATCACGTCAATAGATGCACAAAAAGCATTTGACAAAGTAAGACATCCATTCATGGTAAAAACCCTCAACATAGTTGGAGGGGTGGGCCGGGACTTGCCGCTCGCCCGCCCTTGGGCAGCGGCTGGGCGCCCGTTGTCCATTTTGCTTCCGACGCGCGCAGTCAGTGGAGCTGGTGTATGTGCGGCAATAACATGTCTGCCCAGCTTCCCGCTACCGTGCCCGCCATCGGGAAAGCCACCGCTGCGGTGATTTTCCTTCATGGTTTGGGAGATACAGGGCATGGATGGGCAGAAGCCTTTGCAGGTATCAGAAGTTCACATATCAAATACATCTGCCCACATGTACCAATTATGCCTGTAACATTGAATATGAACATGGCTATGCCTTCTTGGTTTGATATTACTGGGCTTTCACCAGATTCACAGGAGGATGAATCTGGAATTAAACAGGCAGCAGAAAATGTAAAAGCTTTGATAGAGCAAGAGGTGAAGAATGGCATTCCTTCTAACAGAATTATTTTGGGAGGATTTTCTCAGGGAGGAGCTTTATCTTTATATACTGCTCTCACCACACAGCAGAAACTGGCCGGTGTCACTGCACTCAGTTGCTGGCTTCCACTCCAGGCTTCATTCCCACAGGGGCCTATCAGTGGCATTAATAGAGATATTTCTATTCTTCAGTGCCATGGAGAGTGTGATCCTTTAGTTCTCCTAACTAAAGTTTGCTTCTCTTACTGCCGGAAAGCTAAAAACATTAGTAAATCCAGCCAATGTAACCTTCAAAACCTATGAAGGCATGAAGCACAGTTCATGTCAACAGGAAATGATGGATATCAAGCAGTTCATTGATAAACTTCTACCTCCAGTTGATTGATGTCACTAAGAGGCCTCCTGTAGAAGTGCACACCAGCATCATTGTAGTAGCGTATAAACCTTTTCCCGTGCCCAGTCTTGAAACTTCTAATGTTTGCAGTGTTAAAATGTTTTGCAAATACACACCAATGATACAGACTACATGATACTATCTCCTTGTGGGAAAGATGGTCTTCTTTTAAGTTTCTATACCTGTATTTGTAGAATATGATTCAGAATATACTAGTATTAAAATAGGTGAAGCAGCTAAGCTTCTTTTTCCCAAAGTAATTCAGCAAAATAATAAAATACTGTAACCAGATTTTTTTATTATGTCATTTGACAATTATTAGTATACTTAATGAAAATTTGTTTAGGTATAAATAAGCAGTTAAGATACAAATGATTTATACATGCTGTGACTTAGTCTATGGACTTATTCCAAAATTACTTAGTCACCATGCATTATCTGTATTTTTACATATGTATTTGTTATATACTTAATGATTATAATACATAATGAGAATGGGCTGTGACTACATTATTGTAATGCTTCTAAGGTCAATAAAGAGTAATATTCCTGTGTTCAGTTAATGGCCCTTTTATTTTGGGGACCAGGCTTTATTTTCCCTGATATCATTTCTATTTAGTATTTTTTTTTTGTCTCTAGAAATCTGTTCTTTCTTTTTTATCCTTTGTAACAGACCAAATATTGCCTCCTTGCCATAGACATCTGCTGCCAATACATGTTGTAATTTGACATTCTGAATCACAGGTTTGATGGTATTTAAAATGTATTTACATTTATATAAAGAAACCTTTAAACTTCCTACACTACTTATTTCTTAAACTGCACCTTAGTCCAAAGTTAGACCTATATAGTTATTAGAATCTTCAGTGTAGATAATGTGAATAATTCTGTGGTTGTATTTTTCTGTAATTAACTGAAAGAATATGTAGGTCATATTCTAGTATGTTCTGGAATATTTAAGACAGATCTTAAAAACTAATTTCTAAGATGATTTGCTCTAAGATGATTCTCCTTGAGGGTAGTTTTAGTTTACTTGTTTTGTACATATGTTTGAAACCAACTACTGTAGAAAATGAACAGTCCATTAGAAAATTTTGCTTTATTTTTATCTGCCAGTGAACTTTTTTGAAAACTTCACTTTAGTCAGATGGGTCTTTTTTAATTAGTTTTTGTGCAAACATAAAAGTAGCAATTATTTGACTTTAAGTAGTTGAATTTTTCAGATTATTGGTAAAAATTATTGGAAAACAAATTTATGGGTGATAAAGATTAATCGCAACTCAATACATATGGTGTAGTTACCACAGTTTAATATGTAGCAAAAATGTATGCTTGATATTTCTGAACTGTTAATTATTCTGCTGTATTCCAACTGACTAAAACAATGTTAGGAATGCATCTTTATAAATGGGTGCTAATTGATAATGGAAATAATTTAGTAGTGACTGTGCAGAATGTTAATAATGAAGCCATATGTTTATGTCTGGATTTAAAATTTTTAAACAATCATTTACTAAGTCATTTTGCTTTACCTTGAAGAGTATAAATTGTTGTTTCAATTATACAAATCAGCAAGATCTAATTTATGGCAAGAAATATTCCGTTGAAATGTTGTGCTCTAATGTGGGAAAATGTAAATCTTTTTCATGGTTTCTACCAATGTGAAATAAAACTTAATTCTGACAGGAAAAAAAAAACCCTCAGCATAATAAAGGCCATATATGAAAGGTCATATACACAGCTACTCTCATCCTCAATGGAGAAAAACTGAGAGCTTTTCCTCTATGGTCAAGAATAAGACAGGGATGTCCACTCTCGCCACTTTTATCCAATATAGTTCTGGAAGTCCTAGCTACAGGAATCAGACAACAAAAAGAAATAAAAGACATCCAAATTGGTAATGAAGGAATAAAACTTTCACTATTTGCTCATGACATGATACTATGGAGAGAAAACCTTCAGGATTCAACCAAAATACTACTAGAAATGATAAATGAATTCAGTAAAGTTGCAAGACACAAAATCAATACACAGAAATCTGTTGCATTTCTACACATTAGTAATGAAGCAGCAGAAAGAGAAACTAAGAAAACAACCCCAATTGAACCAAAAATAATAAAATACCTAAGAATAAATTTAACCAAAGAGGTGAAAGACCTGTATCTTGGAAGACTATAAAACACGGATGAAAGAAATTGAAGATGACACAAAAAACAGGAAAGTCATTCCATGTTCATGGATTCGCAATAAATATTGTCAAAATGTCTGTACTACCCAAAGAGACCTACAGATTGAATGCAACCTCTATCAAAATACCAACAGCATTTTTCAGAGCTAAAACAAACAATCCTAATTTGTATGGAACCATAAAGACCCTGAGTAGCCAAAGCAATCTTAAAAAAGACCAAGGGGCGCCTAGGTGGCTCAGTCAATTAAGGGTCAAACTCTTGATTTTGGCTCGGGTCATGATCTCAGGGTCATGGGATCTGTAGGATCATAGGATTAAGAGCACACTTATCATGATGAGCATTGAGTAATGTATGGAACAGCTGAATCACTATATTGTACACCTGAAACTAATATAACACCATATGTTAAGTACACTGGAATTAAAAAATTTTAATGGAAAAAAAAAGAAATATGCCTGGCAAAAAACACATGGTATTTACTATCATCATCATCATCATCATCATCATCATCATCACTCTTTGATGTCTGACACAGAGCACATAGTGAATATTTTCTATTTTTATTATTTTTTTAAATTTTCTTATTGATTATTATTATTTGGTGTCTCCTCTTAAACTAAGGAGCATTCCAACATGCAACATACAGGATAGAGACTGTAAGTGATTCTTTCAGCTCTCCATATTTAAGTTTGTGCTCCTGGCCATAGTAATGACAGTTTCCTCTTCAATAATTCTAACTCTGATCTCTTCCCCTTCCATGACTATCTTCAGATGTCTTTAGCTCTTTGCCCCTCTTATTCTTTCACAAGTTACAAAGACTTCTAAGTTACACAAGTAATAAGTTTATATAAGTTACAAAGACTTCCAAATCTAAAATTTTTCAATTATATAAAAACTGTCCTGTAGGATCATGCTAAAAAATGAGTAGGTTTTGCTGTGGGATATGAAAATTATATTTAACTTTCAAAACTGTAAAAAAGTCAAGAGCTGCTTTGTCTGGAGAGACTGCAAACAAGAATGAGCTAAATTTGACTCACATTTACCATTTTGTAGAGCAGACACCCAGGCCAAAATAGCTAATATTGGAAATGGATATGGGAAGTATCTGTAGGCTCAAGGAAAAGAAATAAATATTAAGTCCACCTATTTGTATGTACCAAGACAAGCTCCTTCCAAACTCCACTATGTTATTTACACCCAATCTTTTCCTCTTCTGTAATGTTAATCCACTCAGCAAGTGTTAAAAAATAAGGGTATTGCAAACCTGATTTATGAGACTGACAATTAGTCATGGTCTAATCAACTCTCTTCAATATGACCAAAATCAATATTTTTTAAAGCCAAGATTCTGGTCATGTTTTTCAGAATTGGTGCTAACTCTCCCATTTAAACACTAATATCTCTGGTCCTGTGCATCAGTTAAGCCTTTTCCAAAATGCTCGTGTGTCTACTATCAAGTAAACAGAACCAGAATATTTATTAAGGCAAGTTTCTGATATTTTTTCAGCGCTGAATTGATAATCTACTCTGAGACACAAGAGAGGAAAAATGTTATTATATAGTGGGCTTCTGACTGGATTTATTTTTTAAATTGTCTCAAAGAGTTCCATAGCATGTTGATTATTGATAGGGCAATTTTCGGTGTGAGGTATCAGACTCTAAGTAAGAACCCAACACTTAAGAGACCCTATTTTATGAAGAGAGAAAGGAATGATTGGAGAAACCTGAGGTTATTCCTGTTTATCTTCATCCTTTAAAACAACAAAAGCCAGTGTTCCTTTGCATAGCCCACCTGCTAGACAAACACTTCAAGCGCCATCCCAAAAAACCAAATAAATTCTATGTGTGGTATATGAGGGGGTCAGAACGACAATCCTTCTATATTTGCCACTGTAGAACTGAAGGTTTATTATGTCTCTTTTGAGGATACATTGGAATAAGTAAATGATAACAGAACAGACGCCTCTCAAGAAAATGATTATATAAGACGAACTCCACAAGCCACATTTTTTTTTAAAGATCTTGTTTATTTATTTGACAGAGAAAGACACAGCGAGAGAGGCAACACAAGCAGGGGGAGTGGGAGAGGGAGAAGCAGACTTCCCGCGGAGCAGGGAGCCCAATGCGGGACTCGATCCCAACACCCTGGGATCATGACCTGAGCCGAAGGCAGACACTTAACAACTGAGCCACCCAGGTGCCCCCACAAGCCACATTTTTAAACCAGCTTCATCACCTCTCATAGATTCAAAATCCTGCTTGGGGTATAGCCTAGTGTTTTGGAGTGCAGAGTGTCAAAACAAACTAGGTCATCAGTTCAGTCACTGTTGCAAGAGCCTCTGCTCTCTCAAGATAAAATGCGGATATTGGTACCTAACTTGCTGTAAAGATTACTTTGGATAACTCATGTAAAAAGCCCTGTGCATAATACATGCTCAGTAGAGAGTATAAATTATTATAACTTTCTGTGCTTTTTTTTTCCTATAATAGTGAGGCTTTTTTTCAATTAAATTTATTTATTGCTTAAATGAGGTGACTGCATGAACTATTAAATTAATTCCTGGGATAGTTGAATAAGATTAAAGTGAGGTTTTGGTTAAGAAGAATTCAATAAACCTTGTCTTGGTGGGGAAAATCATAGCATCTTAGGCTTACAACAACCTATGTCCCACGAGGAAGTAAAGATGGTCAGAAAGCAATGAATGAGATTTGCAAACAAGACCAAGATAAACCACTGAGTGAGCACTTTGGTTGTGTCTATGCACACCAAGAAAAATGAAAGATTAACAAGAATAATTTAGATAATTCATGCAGCAGAAAAGGGTTTCTCCTCTTCGATGATCTACATATTTTAATGAGTGTTTATTATCTTCAATTATTCAGTCATTGCTTTGATTCCACAGTTCATGTGCATATATCGATACAGCCTATTTCTTTGCGATCCCATAAAGAGCAAAATAGCTGCTTAGTTGTACTATCATCACGAAAAAGCAATTTAAAAGGCAATCAAGCCATTTGGTTAAAGGCAGATCAAGAGAGTACAAATCTAAGGTTATAGTAGACCTTTATGAGTCATCCTGGGCTCAAAGGGTATTACAGCTTTAGGATCAGCCTAAAGAACATATCAAAACTTTTATGGCCTCTGAGTAGTTAAGGAAATAC